AATGAAACTTGCATATGGTGGAAGTTTGTGTATGGGATTGTTTAGTATCCTTTTTCTGCAACTATTTGTGGACCAAATTGCCCTCCTAATTGTATGAAAACTCAAGTTGTACTGTGTATATGCTCACATGAGCATACTGGGTGATATTGGTTTAGCATTTTTTCGAAAGTAAAAGCCATTGATGCTTTTCCATATGATCAGGTTAAGTCAAATGCACTTGGTTTCTCAATTCTCAAATCATTGAGTTGATTCATCGAGTAGTTGATCCACATGGAAAGCCAAATAGTACATTCAACGAACATGCCATGCCCTCCCAATTCAACTAGCACTGTAATTGCACAGATACTACAGCAGACCCTATAGGTACATTGAAAGCAACACATAGCAAGTTCCCTTCTGACTATATTTTTGATGACCAGTAACCAAATTATGTAAGGTGAACAGACTACGGGTGGTGATTCCCGGACAAGCCAGAGCCATTGTAAGGGTTCACTCAACAAAGAAAAAGAGCCCCAGGGTTGTGGGAAAAGAAGGAAAAAGGTGTTTGGGGGGTGAGGGCAGCCAAAAACATTACTAAGTAGAAAGGTCTGACATAGTAAATAAACTTCTAAATCCCTATGGGGAGTGGTATATCCAATTCAGCTGTATGCATCATTAAAAAGATAATTCAACAGACTAACAACAAATAGCCATTCAGTAATAAGAAAATCAAATCCTTCACTTGAAAAACACAAAGATTCCGATAGCGACCACATGTGTCATCTCATACCCAACAAAAACAAATTCAAATCAGAGCGCATAAGCGAAAAATCTCAACAAATTGCATAAAAAAGGATCATTCCAAATGAATCCATTTCAATAGAAGATCTAACCCAACTCTAGTCTAATCAGCATATAACCGTATGTATGAATTTGCGTGTGTGCATACATACAAACACACGAAAAAAGAAGGAGAGGTGATTCTTTTGATTTCATAATGATTACCTTAATCCGCTTGTCCTCTGCAGCGAAACCCAAAGCAGCAGACAGTAGCCCCAGAAACCCCGCAACTGCACACACCACTACTTCCTTTCTCTCCATTTCTCTCTCTCTCTCTCTTCCTCTGTACTCTCTCTGAAACACACACTAAGTAATTTCCTTCTCTATGAAGATACGCCTCTTTGTCTGTACAGAATAGGCAGTTCGATGATTAACTACAGCACTGGTTCAAGGAAAAGAGGGGGTAGAGAGAAAGTGTAATAATGAAGAAAACGTAAAGCTTGTGAAAGTAAACAGAGAGGCCTTTTTTGAATGTGTCTCACACACTAAACTGTAAAATGTCCTTTGCGTGGTGCCTGTAATGATGAGGGCAAAAATGGAATACAGAACCCACATTGTGATTCGGCCCACAAATCCAAACCCAAATAAACGGTGGGCGGGCCTACTACATCCATTAGACCTATTTAATAAATAAATAAATATGTAATTTCAAATAACTCAATTTTATGATCAATCCTCCTTTCGATCATAAAACTTATGATTAATATCTTAGTTGTAAATCAATGAATTTTTGGTCTAATGGACTTTCCCGTGCGACTGCAAATATTGGTTGATTCTGCCCAACAAACAAAATTATAATTTAGTGGGCCTATTTTTAAAATCACCTGACCTTAGCAAGCTCAAATGCAGCCTTCTGCCCCAAATTGATCTTCATTCTNTAACGGTGGGTGGGCCTACTACATCCATTAGACCTATTTAATTAATAAATAAATAAATATGTAATTTCAAATAACTCAATTTTATGATCAATCCTCCTTAACATGTTAAAATCGATCATGATTAATATCTTAGTTGTAAATCAATGAATTTTTGGTCTAATGGACTTTCCCATGCGACTGCAAATATTGGTTTGAATCACCTGACCTTAGCAAGCTCAAATGCAGCCTTCTGCCCCAAATTGATCTTCATTCTAACTGAGCTTGTTCTGGATGGATTTCAGTGGGTAATGGATGCATGCAACCTAAAGATATTCATTCCATTTATCAAAGAGAGAACGATTTTGAGTGTGTAGATTAGTGGAGTTTTGACCTTAATGCTTTACTTATGCGGGGGTGGAGCTAGGATTTGACATTGGGAAGGCCCAAAAGGTATTCAAAACCACCTACTTTACAAAGCCTTAAGATAAACCTTTAAGATATATGTTTGTTTGGCAGATAAGTGGAGTATACAGAGGTGGGGTAGTGTTTATTAGTACATCAGTCTCACATATATTTTGTTTGTTAATTATTTTTAGGATTAATTACGGCTGTAGTCCCCAAAGTATTTATGTTGTCTCATTTTGGTCCCCAACCTTCTAATTTCATCAAATTGGTCCCCAAAGTACTACATTTGCACTTACCTAGTCTNTTTATTAGTACATCAGTCTCACATATATTTTGTTTGTAAATTATTTTTAGGATTAATTACGGCTGTGGTCCCCAAAGTATTTATGTTGTCTCATTTTGGTCCCCAACCTTCTAATTTCATCAAATTGGTCCCCAAAGTACTACATTTGCACTTACCTAGTCTCCGCAGTTGAATCCTTGCAGATTTCCGTCTATTCATAGTCATGTGCCATCCACATGACCCAACTGAGGGGCTATAATGTCATTTACCCTCCTCCTATTACTAGAGGGAAACATTCCCGCCATCAGGTATATCTATAAGACCTATTGTCTGTTACAGAGCATAGGAGAAGAGAAAATGAGGGGAAGGGAAGGAAAGACAGTAGTGGTTAGAATGCCAGCAACACCATGCCGTTGTAGAAAAATAGCCAAACTGAGGACCTCATGGACCGATACCAACCCAGGAAGAAGGTTCATTGGATGTGAAAGATATGAGGTAACAAAATGTTTTGGATTTTGTTACTGAGTTTTCTATTTTGAATGCATTTAACAAAATGTTGCATTTGTAGGAGGCTGGAGGGTGTGGATTTTTTGCTTGGTATGATCCGCCAATGTGTGATAAAGCGAAGCAAGTGATACCCGGATTGTTGCGATCAAAGCAAAGACAGGAGAACCAACAACGAAAGGCAAAAGCTAGGGAAAAATTATTATGGGTTGCTCTGTTCTGTTCTGTTCTTGGACATTTTTATTTTCACTTGGGTGTGGCATTTCCTGTAGGTAGTAGTGCCCTGTTTGTCTGTGGAGGCTGCCCTGTTTTTGTGTAGGAGGGTACTTTGTTTTTGTGTAGCAGGGTACCTTGTTTTTGTGTAGGATGGTGCCTTGTGAAGGTGACATTTTATGTAAATGTAATTATTATGTTTGATGTAATTGAAAGTGTAACAACCTGCTTGCATCAAAACTATTTGTTAAGTGTTAGGTATTTTTCAATAGTCGCGAACTTATGAGTTTGAATGTGCCCTGTTTGCTCCCATGTCATTCTCGATTAATCATGACTACTACCAATGCAGAAAAGCCACAACCCATGATTTTCATTAAGGTAACAACCTGTTAGTTGTGACAAAAAGATGTCCATAATTACAAATTCGTCTCTTAGTACAAAACCAAAATGAGAGCAAGAAAGAGTATATTTACATCACAAACCCAAAAGATAGCAACATATTTACATATAAACTAGATTTAGATTCTCATCACAAACCCAAAAGAGAGCAACACATTTACATTGGCTCCAAAAAAAAAAAAGAAGAAGAGAGAAGCTGCATGGGTGCTTGTTCATTTGCTCCTCCTGAATGGTATTTTATCCCTTTGTGTACGAACCAATAGTTGAACCTTGAAGTTATGGGTGCTTGTTGATGGTGAACCAATGGTTGAACCTTGAAGCTATATAGAGAAAAAGGTAAGATATGAGACAATGTTTTTCAATGAAATTGTTTACCACTTGCCAAAAAGTCCAAAAAGTTCAATAAAATTATTTACCTGTTCAAAGCAAGACATTCCTTTCACAGCAGCTTGACTCCTTCCTCCTTGGCTCATAGCAGATTGGCTCACTTCAGCTTGGCTCCCTCCAACCAATCAAATGCCTTCTCATCTTTTTCTTTCACCATTTGCATCCCATAGTCAAATTCTGAAACATAAGTTGCCCTAATCAACTAGTGTGCACAATATAGAAAAACATCGCTGGTCCATCCTAAGTTGATTGTAGCATGTTATATGTCTTTCATCTATCAATCTATTAAGATATTCTATTTGCAGTAGGGTTCGCGTGATTGAGCTTGAGATCCTATTGTTGTTTTGAATTTCATGAAATTCCAAAAAATTTGCAATCATAGCAATTAGACATGAGCATATCATAAACATAAACAAGTGGACACTATCCAAAATAACCACCAATGACACACTAAGATCATTGTCTTCATCATAACGACTGTCACTCACACAAATTACAGTAAGCAGTGCTTGTTATAGAGCACTTTAAATTATCAAAATAAAACATATTACAGGAACAAGCATGCATTAGATATCATCACCGAACAACGAATACATATTTTTTTGTTAAAATATAAAAAAACCATAACCATTGGACTCAAAATAAAATTAGACAAACATTATGGGCATTATAAGGGCTAAAATATGGATAGGGGCAACATTGTGCAACAAAATAAGAAAACAAACTACCCAAAAATCAAATAGGTCCAATGATTAAAACAAGGGGAAAAAATATTTGTGCCTTGTATTTCACTTTCCACAAACAAATGGTTAAAAAAATACCATTTGAAAATTTCGAACATTATGGGGGTGTATTTCACCAGCGATTGAGAATTTACAAGGCCAAAATATCAGATCGCAACGCAACCAATCTTTGCCACAGAGATCGACATAGACCAGATCACCATCCATTGTCTCCCCGTTTTACAACATTAACACAATCGACGTTGACGACAAATTTTAGAAGATTCAAAAGAACGTACATGTGTGCGGTTTGCAGAAAAAAAGGGTTCAGCAGCATTGAGAGTGTCTAGAGAGATACCAACGTTCAGAGTGGCTATGGAGATACTAACATTGACAATGGCTAGGGTTTCACCATCGTTCAAAGTGGCTAGGGTTTTAGGAGCGTTGAGAGAGACGAGTGACAAGGGTTTCACCATCGTTCAGAGTGGGTAGGGTTTGAGCATCGTTGAGGTAGACAACTGGCTATGGTTTTAGGCTCAACATCATTGAGAGAGGCGAGTGGATAGGGTATCAGTGTTGGGAGAGGCGAGTGGCTGGCGTTTGTTGGTAGAAAGTTGGCTTTATATGGGGATACTATACATGAGGGCATTTGTGTCAATTTTTTCTCTTGTATTGTCCTTTCATTTAACCTAGGAAGATAATACTACCAGATAGGTGAAATTCATTAATACCATGTACAAGGTTTAACCTAGGTGGATCACCATGTTTATTACCTTCAACCACATACACATTTGTTCTCTCTCTCTGTCTGATAGCTTAGCTGAGTGAGTGGGGTTAGTCTCTCCACCGATAGAATGAGGGTTCCTAATTGTTTAATTAACAACTTGTGGGCTGTTAATTAAAGAGTGGATTTGAGTTATAATAAAGCTGATATGAGCTGCTTTTAACATAATTGTAAAAAATCCAGTTTATACGATCCTTGGTTTAGTAATTTTGCACTTTACCCCCTATGTTCAAAAATTAGCACATAACTCTCTTATACTTTTGAACTAAATTGGTACCGTTAGAAATTCTCACTCAATTGATAGAATGTAGTATGCAAACACATAATTTGAGAGTAAGTGTGGGAAAATATTCGGTCTAAGTCAACTTTTAATGAAAGGTTTTAAGTCTCATTATCACATTTGTTATGTGGTGTTGCATCTCATTATATCTTAAATTTTTAAGATCTTAAAAATTTTATACTTATCCATTTGTTTCCTTATAGATGAAATCTACAAAAAAAAATTAACTTTTGTATTAAAGCAACATACTTTAAATTGACATTATTTGTGCTATTAATTCATGCAATAATATTAAAATGCCCTAAATTTCATGGAAAATAAAATGCATTTTGGTTATTGAAAAAATTTAATACCGTTCAAATTAATTTTGCTATTTATTGAAAAAAAAAAATTTTGTTTTACATTAAGTTTTTACACAAGGGTGAAATGGTCATTTTAGTATGTTATACCATCACATGTGAATGAGACCCACAAATCAAATGAAACATATCCAAAGATAGGATAAGATTTGAATCCTATTCTATATTCCTCAAATCCGGACCACTTTACATTGGATAGAATTGGATTTGAATTCAAATCCAATTCTCCCATGGTGATCCAAACACCACCCAAGTGTACTATTTTATCAGAATTAATTTATTGTA